CCATCGCAAGCTCGATCAGGTCACGGAAGGCCTTCCGGTGCTATTGCGCTTGCACTCGTAGCCAGGAAAACTCGCTGGCGCCAGTGGAACGGGCGCGGACAGCAGTGAGAAGCCGTGCCTCGCGTGGACGCAAAAATGGCTCTCAACTTTCGGACTTGTGGCATGGGCTTTTTTGCAAGAAACGCTTCTGATTGGATTTCTAGATGCACTAGTTGAATTGCATCATCTGTTCAAGCCCATATTCAATAAAGAGACCCACTTCCCCAAGCCAGGCGTCCAAATCCCTGCCAAAAATCATGAAGCGCCGGCCTGGCTGCCTGCTCCAGCAAATCCCAGCGTGTTTCCTCATGGAAGAAAACCTCTCTCGTGCTTGACGTCACTGCTGTCTCTCCAGGCAAAAGCCGTCCTGGCCCTCCAACAAGGCCAACACCACCTTTCCACCAGGCTGCAGGTGTTTGGCCTTGATGCAAAGACAAGAACACACACGCACACACACACACACACACACACAGACAGACAAATAGCGCGCGTGCTCGTCCACGTGCCATCCACCGGTGCTGCCATTGCTGCAGCTTCCGCCCGGCTTCCAACTCAGCTCGGGGCCACGGCATGGAAAAAATGGGCCAGCAGGAAGCGGTGGAGCCGGAAATCCTGACACCCGGCTGGTGTCACTCGAAATAGGATGCGAACCTCCCCAAAATGGCGGGTGAGAAACCTTGCAGCTTTTCTGAAACTGTTCCATGCTATCTTGTCGCGGCTTGCCGGCTTGTTGGCCAACGGAGTTGGGTCATGCAAGATGTATGCCCTACGAACGTTTTTGCCTCACACAGCACAATGTTCAGCAGGGGGCGAGGGGTTGCACGCGTTTAGCCTTATAATTGTATAACTCATGCAATGTGTCTGCAATCAACAGCATGGCCTCTAGTTTGGGATTATCTAGTAAGGAAAGAACACAATACAATATACATGTGTACATATACATATATATATATATATACACATACATAACACATGTGTGCGCGTATGTAAATATATATATATATGTTACATAACATTATATATATATATATCATCTTAAATATATATATATATATATCATCTTATATATATATATATATTGGTGCACCCCGCAAATGTTGACCTTTTTGTATGTTTAACCTGAAGCTCTCTTTTTCTTCCTTCCCCCAAGCCCCAAGAAAGTCAGAAAACACCGCACATATTTACGAATTCTGCAGAAGTAGTTTAAACAGGATCTCCTTTTCAAAGACGGCTTTTAATTGGAATGATTGTCAAATTAGACTTTAAAGTCGGTCTCCTTTCTTCTTAACTTAATACTGAAATACTCCTAGTATATTCTCCAGTTTAAAGAAAATCAACATAGGTTTCCCTGATGAAAGAAGATTTGCAATAATTCAATTAAAGCCCTTCTTTTAAAACAAGCCTATCTAAACTATCGGTAAAACCAGAAACTCTAGTAAAAATTGTGTCATTTATTAAATTATATTTAAATCATGATCAAACAATAATATTGAACGCGATTCAAAGAATAATTTCGTTCTTTCAAACTATATCCTAGAGGGGGTCTCTTTTTCTAGGATCGTGTATTGAATTATCCATAAAATTCAAGCGGAATTTAGTGAGAAAAAAATACTAGTACGATTTCTAGTTTAAAGAGAATCTAAATAGGTGCCCTTGGATTCTAAATCATGCTCTAGTTGTAGTTTTTGATAAGACATGAAATAACATGTAATAAGGACATATTTCTAGTAGCGCGTCTAGATTTAACGAGAACGTAAGTAGGCCTTTGGGAAAATAATATTATTAATTGGAATTATTATGTAAAATTCAACTTTGAAGCCGGTCTTCTTCTTTTTCTACACTTGAGATGTCCAATGAAGCTAGACAGACATTCGCAGTGAAACATCCTAATATGATGTCTAGTTTTAAAGATTATGTTAATAGGATTTCGTGTTGGAAGAATATGTTTAATTGTAATGCTTACTTCAAATTAGATTTTAAAGAGGACTTCCTTTGTCAGGATGTCTGTCCCAATCTTCTAATTGGAATCTAAATAGATTTAAATAAGGTGCTGCTTTCCCCAAAGCACAAAAAAAGGCAAAGAACACCGCAAATACCATTGAAACCAACAAAAGGTCGACTTGTTTATTTATTGATTTTTCGGGGGGGGGGGGGGGGGTAGCATCTATTTGTATATGTGTACGTATATTTCATATGCGTATGTATCAGTGGATTACATTGTATTACATTACATTATACATAGTACTGTTTCATATTCGCACAAAATATACGTATAGTTGTGAAAAGAAGTAATGAACGAAAGCACAAGAAAAGCCAAGCCTCTTTTCTGCTACCACGCTCGTCAGTAAGGAGAACCACCAAACATAGCCTCTGACTGGAGTTTGCCTGTGGAAGGGGTCTGCGAAACAACAGTGCCTGCCGCTCGTTTAGAAATGTCAGGCGAGTTGATTTCAAACCCTAACCAACAGCTGCACTCAACACCCCAAACCCTAAAACCCAAAGCACGCATCTCTGAAATCCAAAAGCTGTGAAAAAATAGAAACCTGAGGCGAAACCGGCTGTTTCTGGAAAGATCGGCCTGTGTTCGCAACCCATGAAGGTATCCCCCAACTCTTGCATAGGCTAACAACTAATATTAATATCCACTGCCAATAGAAAATGAAGGGAGCCCTTCCCTAAAACTATAGACAAACACATATCCTGCAGTCCAAAGCTCTGTCCAAACCCTCAAACCTAAACCCAAAATTATCCCAAATTGCTCAATCCCAAAAACCAGCTAATGCAGCGCTGCAAAGCCACCTCGTGTACAATTGCCATTGCCGCTATCGACTTTGAACTTTGCAATGCGACGCGAAACTGCTGAGTCCTCCGTGCCGAGGTGCGGGTGGTTCCACGCCTCACTGCTTGTGTCCACGCGGCCACTCCATCTAAAGGGAACCCCGGAACATTTTACCCCTGGCTGGTCCCTTTACTTTTGGGGGGCCACACGTCCCCAATGCCCTATTGATCCTTATGGTGCTCATCCGGGTCGACAATAAGTTCCGATCATCGAAAGATTGTGATGGCCTGAGGCTACTGAGGCTCTGGCAATGATGTCGAATTGCCTCTCCTGGGTCGTGGGGCATCGCTACTGCTCTCATGGAAGAGTCTGGTTGCTTTTCCACATCATAATCGGACCACAAAACCGCTTGACCGCAAATTGTCGCACACATAGACCATCATTATTGCAAGTGTCCAGTGCTGGCATGGATCGCCGAAGGTGTCGGCCAGATCCCAGGCATTGACCTGATATCCTCAGCTCCAGTCCCACATTTTGCTGTTCAAAGCAGAACGGTTGCTTCACCACGTGGCAAGATGCATCCCAATGACGAGATCGATCGCTGGGCTTTTTTGGGGTGAATCGTGCGAAGTCTTCCCTCGCTCTCCGCGAATTATGGTCGAATTGTTGAGGCATCGCCACACTCGAACTACTGTCACGCACAGGCAGGTGCGGAGATGCTGACCAAGAGCCCACAAAGGGGCTTAGGCCGGGCCATGAAACTGTGCTGCAAATATTGACAAACCCAAAGCTCTGGCGTTGCAAAGTGATCACCCTCTTGCCAGTGCCTCGCTGCCTGCCAAAAGCCTGACATTTCGCACAGGCTTCGGGCCGCGGAAAATCCATCGCAAAACAACCGGCAGCCAGACTCCAAGGGCACCCCCCTTCGGACTTCAATTGCACTCCAGCTACGCAGCTACGCAACTCCTCTTCTCTCGCGGGAGGTGCCCGTGATGCGTGTGCCCAAATCTGGCGTCAAGTGCCCCGCTCGCCGCGCGCACGCTGCATGAATGCGCACTCTCGAAGCCATCTGGTCCTCAGCTCGCACAAAGGGGCTCCCTGTTGTTTCTGATCCGTCTCAACATGGAACACTCTGCAATGCTTCCACAATTGCATCTTCTTGCCTGCTCATTTACAAAATGTCCGCAGTATGATGCATAGCATAGCAGATACATCCTGCTTCACGCGCAGGCTGCGCAGGAGTTTGTGTGTGTGTGTGTGTGTTTCAGTGCAAGTCCTGACGGGTCAACATTATTTTGGGGCCGCCTTCCAACCTTCCCATTGTGAGAGCCTCCCTGCACGGAGGGAATCATCTGGAATGGATGGCTAAAATGGTTTCATTGGCCCATGGTGCCAACCCTGTCAGCATCCAAGTCATACCCATCGTACGAGTTGGATCCGGGGCACCAAGACAACGCAGCGATCTATTGGCCACATCCGCCAGGGCAATTGCTGCTCCTCCCTTCTTTCCTTGGACGCAAGCTCCAATTCTCGAAGCGCTCAACCTTCCCAAGTTCAAATCTTTGGTGCCCAGTCTCTAAAGAGTCCGAAAGAAGCAATCCACAGCCTCTGTAACACCCAGCCCAAATTCCCGCCAAAGCCTCGGCTGGAGGAGGCCGGTGCCACCTGGTCGCTGCGGCCGAGCACCCTGCTTCTCGCTCTTCCTTGGATGCCAGAATCCTTTGCTCCCGCCAGTCTGCGAATGCAAGAACAGCCTTGTCTTTGCTTGGCATGGCAAATTAGTGTCTATGTGTGTGTGTGTGTGATGCGTGACTTCCCCTGCTTCCCTGCTCATGCCGAAGACAAAGGGCGACTTGGTGCCTCTCCTGAAATTCGACGCAAATTCCACAAGGTAAGTTGGCAAGACCTGCGAACCAGCTGCGCAATCAACTCCGTGGACATCAGGTGGAAAGCTGCCTCAGCGTCAAAACATACTCAGAGGAGCCCAACCTACGTGGATACCTCCCATCGGGTTGCCCTTTTGGAGACATGCCGGGCATCCGTGCAGAAGGATCAGGCTTCAGAGCCAAGGTGCATCTACATTCGTGGCATCTTTGGCGGAGCATTCAATGAAGGCAATGCCCAAATCCTCCAGGCGCTGCCGTGGACTCACGGTATATCCAACGAGCCCTTGCACCCCGTCACACCACGCATACACTCGATGCAGTGAGAATACCATGACATTCGACTCTACCTAACATGGCGGTTCACACACACACACAAGAGGTCTCACTACAATCCCAATTAATCCGGTAGTCCAGCAAAAGTCCAAAATGGTCGACAAAAATGTGTCAGGTGCTGCTCACCTGCTTGGTTTGCAATGCACAGCCTGCATGGCTGAGACCAGAAACCTCTTGGGCAGAAAAGTCGAATTGTTAAGGCTTTGCCATATATATATATATATATGGTCACACCCTCTGACAAGAGGACACCTGCAGAAAGTGAAGGTTTGCCCAATCTATGGATGTTACGCACACGCGAGGTAGATCATGGGGGTGGGGGTGAGCATATATATATATGTATGTAATCTATGCATGCTATGTATACATGTAAAATGTGTATATATGTATATATAAAGAGAGAGAGAGAGATACCTAAATGTAGAACATACATCAATACATGACACAAAATCTGGGTACAAAACAGAAGACAGGATAACATACACTACACAAAGAACAGCATGGCATAACATGATACTGGACTACGAAAAAGCAACAAAAGAAAACCAGCCACTGCAATCTGTACATTGCCGTGCCTTGAATCTGTCCATTGCAGTGCAATCTGTACATTGCAGTAACATTGCCTTGCAAGAGAGCACCTTGTATACTGTCACAATAACCTATAGAGCGATACATTGACTTGCATTACGTTGCAATGATATCAAGTGTTACAGAGTCATATGTACCATGCGAACTGCTGAATACATTGGCTTACATTACATGCGCTACGTTGTATGATGATGATCTGCGTTGCGTTGCATTGCATCATAGTTCATTGCAGCCCAAACAGCAAGACCAAGTCTGCAATCAAAACACCAAATCCAGCAGCGAGAGTACACAAACGCCAAGGGATGTCAACCAAAACGCCATCCCTTTTGAACCACAGAAGCGAACGTTCGTGGCAATCGCACCGCTCCGAATCGCGCCTCCGCTTTCTTCTTGGCCTCCTCAGTGGAGACCTGCCGATCCGCAGTGTTGTCGCACTTGTTGCCGATGAGAATCTTGCACGTGTTCTCGTTAACGTAGCCTGTCAAGAGGAGAGTCGCAAGTTGCGGAAGGAAAACAACGGACCCCAAAGCAGAATGGTGGAAGACGTGCCCAATGAAAGGATGCCCACATTGGATGGAAAGTCAGCTTCCAACGAGAGGGCGTGTCTAGCACGCTCGAATAAGCCCCTTGCGTGCGAAATCTGAGCCAAACCCTGGTGGAATCAAAGGGAACCAAAAGTGGAGAACAACCCTTTTGGGGCGGGTCGTGTAATTTTGACAGATACGTGCCAGGAAGCGATTCACCTCATTCAGCCACTGATCCACATTCTTGAAAGATTCCCGGTCGCAGATGTCGTACACCAGGATGATCCCATCCTCAATCCCACCCATTGTGCAAGATGAACCATTTTGCGCCACCAAAGAGGGACTCCCACCACCATGACTCATCACTTTAAAGGGCACCTTTAGAAATGGGCCCCAAACCCTGTTTCCACAACTATGGCACAAACCATGCCTGTGGCAAGTATGGAGCCCTCTACGCGGGGGACCCTGAGACCCCGGCTGCACCGCGGTAGTACCTTGGAGTGAGGCAAGTCTCTCCAACGAACTGTGCATCCTAGTTTGGAGTCTTGGAGTTTTGGGGCGGGGGAGTGCACAAAGACCTCCTCAAGCTCATCCGTTGTGCATGGCAAACGTGCAGGGGATCCTTCTGTGAGGGATCTGCGCTCCAAACATCCGCACCGCATGACATCTCCGTGCAAGCAGGCTGCGCGCTAGTGATGGTTCGGAACCGCTCCTGTCCGGCGGTGTCCCATATCTGAAGCTTGATTGTCCTCAGGCGACGGGCGAGGCATAAGCGCAATCCGAGGGGGGCATGTTTTTGCCAACAAATACTTGCAGGCCAAACGTCTTCTTGTCTACGGGAATCGTCTTGAATCTGAAGTCCACCCCGATTGTGGTGATGTAGCCTGAGTCGGGGCAGAGCGGCAGTTCAGTCTGCGCTCGCAGTTCAGTCTGCGCTCGCAGACACACACACACACACACACACACACAGTGTTTCTATCCACTGCATCACAGAAGCTATCAGTGAAGGCATCGTCTGCAAAGCGCAGGAGAAGACAAGATTTGCCTGCGCCAGAATCACCAATGAGCACCTCGGCCGGTACTCCCTTGGTTCGCTTCTCTTTGGCTTTTGGCCAAGTGATGCTTTCTGAAAAAGTGCTGATTCATAAAGTAAAAAACCGTCAACGGGGAAATATGCGTCATGTATTCAGTTGTCTGCTGACTTGCGAGGCGATATTGTTTTGACACATTCACACGACGTGGCTTCGGCGTCCTCTCAAACCTCTCACCAAGGTGGAATGTGGGCCAGGACTTATCTAGCAGACACGCTCCTGACCAGGAGTTTGAAAGAGCGAGACGAGGAAATCCAATTGCAAATTGCTACCAGCACGTGACACAATGGTGTGGTCTCAAATAACTCAGAACGGAGGCACCAGCTTGAATAGGTGGTCATAATCGCGCTTCATCCTGCCGAAACGCATGCTTGGCACAAGAACCAAATAGGCTGGCACCTAAGACATTTCGCGTGTCCTGCACTCCCCAGTTTCGAGCTGTACCCAAAAAGGAGGCGGGCCCAACAGGCTTGAGCCAAAGATAAACTCCAACAGTGAGCACTACTTGACAACGAACATTTCAGCTCTTCGATGCGCAGCAAGATGCATGAGAGCTGCACTGCTGCTCAGGGCGCAGCTCACTTCCAGCGAATCGAAGAGTGTCAAGCGGCCAAGGATGCCGGCGCTTTCGGGATACTTCTCCGAGAGTTCAAACTGCGTCTCGTAGCAGCTCGCTACGATCCTAACCTGCCTGCAGACCTGCAACGGCAAGCCCAAATACCCGGCCGCAACTGCCAAACTCCGCTGGGACAGCTCTGCCGCTCTGCGGTCGGTGTCCGCATCTCCAGCTGAACCCGACAGCGTAGGGGGTACCAGCATCGACTTCAGCGCCAGCGCGAAGGAGAAATTCGCCTCCCCCAAAAGGAGGACCTCTGGCGAATCCACGCTCTCGGCTTCTTGCAAAGCTCGGCACTTCTTCTTCCGCTTGCTCATTGCCAGGAATGCCTTGAGGAAGCATGGCAATCATCCACGTCAACTCATTCCTTGAAGGCTTATTGAGACTGCTTCAAGTGTTGACACTGGTGTATGGAGATGTGGCACATTTGTGCGTGTGTGTGTGTGTGTGCGCAGTGCTGTGCACTGCATTTGTAGATGGCATGTGCCACAACTGATGCAACACCACTATGAGCATGAAAAGCCGCATCGGAATCACGCGAGCCTAGGCAAGGTGTTTAGAGGGCTCAGCTTGAGGTTGAGCAGGAAGCCGCACACTGTCACATATAATTTGATGAGGGCTTGTTCCAACTGATCGGCGCGCTGTGACTGCTTTGACTGACTGAAAGGGTTGTGCAATTTGCACAAGACTCTCCAAACCAGGCAGCTGGCACAAGGAATGTGGCATTGCACGCACAATTGAAACAGTGCTTTGCTTGGCTCAGAGCAACTAGCCCTGTTCCAAAGCACCTTTCAGTCCAGCATCTCAAGCAGCAGCGCCGCCTAGCTGGCCAGTTGCATACAAGTTCTGGAACTCTCAAGCAAAGTCTCACCGTGTGACAGCTGAGGTCGCTTCAAAATATCGCATCGCAGCATGCCGAGCTGGTCGACAGGGTGGGCAATGGCTCCGGGTCGCGCGGATACATGTAATAGACCCCGCCTACCGTACACAAAGAGACAGACAACCAAGCTGGGCACAGCTGGCCTGGCTTTCCACCCTCGTAGGGCCGCCCATAGCCCTGGAGCACCAGCTTGTCTTTTCCGTCCAGGTCTTTGGCCGTGACACCCTGCCAGCTCTCTCAAAGGGTTTGGCACGTCCCAACCCTTTCCCGCCTCAACCTTCGTGCGGGTGTGCTTGTCTGTCACTTCATCTCCTAGCTTCCGTCCCCAGCCCCATCTCCCAAGAACCAAAAAAGCCGAGGCTTCCTTTCACTGCATGGGTGAAGTCCGCCGGGTCGTAATTTGCCAGCAGGTCGTTGCTCTTCTGCAGGCGCATCATGTCGTCATCATGCGCTTTGCCGTAGTCGATGCCCAGCGGTGTGATTTTGTCGACCAACTCCTGAGCTGTCCTGGGAAGATCTCTTCACTTTCAAACTCCCAAAAAACATGACTTCGGCACGCCGAACTCTGCAATCCTACCCAAAATCTGGGTAAAGCTAGAGCTGCAAAACGGGCCGCTACATACAGTTTCTAGAGCAGTGTGTATTTGCTTGCCTTTCCCCCTGGCTTTGAAGGCACCGGAAACCCAAGGGCCCTGGGCTCCCGGCAGCTGCGGCGCATCCGGCCAGCTTTCCCCGAGCAACGCCAGCTTCTCCAGCGCCTGCAGGACGTAGGCCAGCGGGAAGTGCCGCATCTTCATGAAGTGGGCCCCTTTCCGGAAGACCCCCAGGTGGGAAGGGAGCAGGGGCGGCAGCCTTGGACACATGGGAACATCGGGAGAAAGGAGGGGAAGAAAGCCTGAAGCACTCACGGCAAGGTTGCAAAAGAATAAGCTGGAAGTGAGACCTGCTTGGGAGTTCAGAAAACGAACCTTGGCATCCACAAAGCCAGACCTCCGTGTGTGTTTGGTCAGTTTGGGATCGAAAGCACCCCAAAGATACAAGGGCACCACTGGAGGTCAAGGCAAAGCAATGAATGTCGACCTGAATACAATGCGTCCAGGGCCCCTGCATGTACTGGAGATGCAGCTGATATTGGGAAGGGGGCAAGTTGAATGCCATCACCACGTGATCGCGCAGGGCATCGATGTGCATAGCGTTTCCTTCCTCAGCTCACCCTCAGTGGCATGAGTTGAGCATCGCAAACCTGGCCCTTCGAAAAGCCCTG